AGCCCAAGGAGATCAGCTGAGAGCTGGGGGTGCTCATCCTGCAGAAGAGACAAGAGAAGGCTTTGGGATTACCTTATTGCAGCCTTTCAGTGCCTGAAGGGGCTCCAAGAGAACAGGAGAGGGAAAAAACATTGTAATCCATAAAATCTGTTATTTTTAATAACTTATCAAAGCATTAAGCCCAAGGAGATCAGCTGAGAGCTGAATCCTGCAGAAGAGACAAGAGAAGTCTGGGATCACCTTATTGCAGCTTTCAGTGCCTAAAGGGGCTCCAAGAGAGCAGGAGAGAGACTTTGGACACGGAAAGATGGCCAAAGGGCAGGGTTAGATGGGATATTGGGAAAAAATTCCTCCCTGRGAGGGTGGGGAGGCAGTCTAGACCAGGCTGAGGGGTTGGGTGAAAACCCAGCCTGTGCCTTGCAGCTCCCCAGCTCCTCATCCTAAGACAATGGGCTCCAAAAAAAAACCAAAAAAGCCACAAACCCTGGAGAACAGGAAAATTTCATGGATGGCCAAAAGAAACCTGTCTTGGATGCACAGGGGAGAATAAAGGCACAGGATGCCCAGAGAAGCTGTGGAAGAGCCCAAAGCCAGGCTGGACAGGGCTTGGAGGATGATGGAAGGAGTCCCTGCCATGGCAGGAGTGGAACAGGATCATCTCTGAGCTCCTTTTCAACCCAAAAACWTTCTGGARTTCTGGTTTTGCCATGGACATGACTGAAATGGTGCCCTGTGAGTTCTCCCTGTGAGTTTTTGTACGTCGCAGGTCCTSCTGCGTGGCAGGAATGGAACACAATAAACTTTGAGGTCCTTTCAACCCAAAACTTTCTGRAATTCTGGTTTTGACATGATGATATCTGGTTTTGGCTGAAGTGGTGACCTGCAAGCTCCCTACCCCAACACCCCTGTGAGTTTTTGTACCTCCCAGGTCCTGCTGCATGGCAGGAGTGGAACAGGATAATCTTTGAACTTTCCAACCCAAAAACGTTTTGGAATTCTGGTTTTGCCAYGGACATGACTGAAATGGTGACCTGTGAGCTCTCCCTGTGGGTTTTTGCACCTCCCAGGTCCTGCTGTGTGGCAGGAGTGGAACAGGGTAAACTTTGAGGTCCCTTTCAACCCAAAACTTTCTGGAATTCTGGTTTTGACATGGACACGACTGAAATGGTGCCCTGTGAGCTCTCCCTGTGGGTTTTTGCACCTCCCAGGTCCTGCTGTGTGGCAGGAGTGGAACAGGATAATCTTTAGGAGCCTTTCCAACCCAAAAACCTTCTGGAATTCTGGTTTTGCCATGGACATGACTGAAATGGTGCCCTGTGAGCTCTCCCCATGGGTTTTTACCTCTCAGGTCCTGCTGCGCCCGAGCGCTGGCAGGAGTAGAACAGGACAATCTTTAAGGTCCTTTTCAACCCAAAAACTTTCTGGAATTCTGGTTTTGCCATGGACATGACTGAAATGGTGACCTGTGAGCTCTCCCTGTGAGTTTTTGTAC